CCGGAATGACCAAATAGTTGTCAGTTATTTAATATAGAATGTATATAATTACTGAAGATGCTAAGACCTTGGGACCTTGGTATTAAACAAAATTAAAAGTCCATTTGTTTTGTACAACCTTTTGGATTCTAGTCAAATGGAGTGCAACAAATCAACAAATGTTTGGAATCATAAGGAAATAGTTTGGTAATGAAATTAGTACTTTTACTCTTTAATGTTACATTGAAGCTCTGTTTTCTCTTGATGCAATTGACTTTCTCAATATTATTTCATGTCGGGCTTTACAGGGTTAAGATTTAAATTGAGCTTACTCTTTTATACATAAAAGAGCATACTCCAGTACCCCAAATTTTTTTTCTTACTGATTGTTAATACAATTCATGGAAAGAATGCAAAACTGAAATGTATTAAAGGGTTAGTTCACCCAAAATTGAAAATTCTGTCATTAATTACTCACCCTCGTGTTGTTTGAAACCCGTAAGACCTTCGTTCATCTTTGTAACACAAATTAAGGTATATTTGATGGAATCTGAGAGCTGTCTGACCCTGCATAGGCAGCAATAGAACTGAAATGTTCCCAAGTCCAGAAACGTAGCAAGGAGATCTGTAAAATAATCCATGTGACATCAGGAGTTCAACCGTAATTTATCAACCGTGTTTACATAAACCGTGTATGCTGTTCTGTGTCAGCTGCGTCACACGGATACGCTGTTTTCTTTCAGATCAAATCACAACAACATATGAAACCGAGCCGGCGTGACGCAGCTGACACAGAACTGCATTCGTTGTTTACGTCCAGCTGATGTCCAAAATGGCCCTACAGGGTGATGCGGAGGAGACGAATTGTTGAATAAAGTCGTTTTTTTTTTTTCTTTTGTGCACAAAAAGTATTCCCGTAGCTTCGTAAAATTACGGTTGAACCCCTGATGTCATGGATTATTTTACCGATCTCCTTGCTACATCTCTGGACTTGGGAACATTTCAGTTGTATTTCTGTCTATGCAGGGTCAGACAGCTCTCAGATTCCATCAAAAATATCTTAATTTGTGTTCAGAAGATGAATGAAGGTCTTGCGGGTTTGAAACGACATGAGGGTGAGTAAATAATGACGATTTTTATTTTTGGGTGAAGTATCCCTTTTAACATGTACTTAAAACAGAGAAATATGTCATTAATATCAGTAAAATAAATCAATTAGCCAGTTTGTTTAAATGAAAGGTTTGGAGAAATGAGGATGCCACAGATTAAATTCAACCAATTTTATATTCTAATTAGTGCTGGGCAATGATTAATCACGATGAATCGCATCCAAAATAAACGTTTTTGTTTTTATAATATGTTTGTGTACTGTGTATATTTACATTTAGTAATTTAGCAGATGCTTTTATCCAAAGCGACTTACAAATGAGGACAATGGAAATGGAAAAAGAGCATTATTGCAAGTGTTATGACAAGTCTCAGTTAGCTTAGTGCAGTACACGTAGCAAGATTTTTTTTTTTAATTATATAAAAAGATAAACAGACATAATAGAAAAAGAATAGAGCAAGCTAGTGTGTAGTTTAAGTCTAAAATGGGGCAAGTAAAAAAAAAAAAGGTTTAAAGTAGAGAGTGCTAGAGTTAGAGGGTCAAATAAAGATGGAAGTGATGTTTTTAGCTGATTCTTGAAGATAGCTAAGGTCTCAGCTGCTCGTACTGAGTTGGCAGGTCATTCCACCAGGAGGGAACATTTAAAGGGGTCATATGATGTTGCTAAAAAGAACATTATTTTGTGTATTTGGTGTAATGAAATGTTCATGCAGTTTAAGGTAAAAAAAAACAAACAAACATTATTTTCCACATACTGTACATTATTGTTTCTCCTCTATGCCTCGACTTTCTGAAACGCGTCGATTTTTACAAAGCTCATCGGTCTAAAAAGCAAGGTGTGCTGTGATTGGCCAGCTATCCAGTGCGTTATGATTGGCCGAATACCTCAAGCGTGTGACGGAAATGTTACGCCCCTACCATACTGTGATGATGCCCTGTCAGGCCGGAGCGATGATTCAAAAACATGAAAACCCATTATAAACGAGGCATTCGTTGCATCCAGTGGGGACATAATTATGGATCATAATGACTTGTACTGTCTTTTTACGTGGTGCGTGATCATAAACCCATGTCTGCATTTGTGATCGGAGAAATGACAAACAACAAGCCTTACTCTACACTGCCCAAAAAACTCGCTTTAAATATAAAAATATAAAATATAAAAACTCTTTAAATATAAAAAACGTACTTACTGACGTGAGTCAGAACAGCCGGCATTGTAGTCTACCAGGATCAGGAAACGGTCCTCCATAAAATGTGCTGCACACATCTGAATATTTGGGTTAAAGTGTTCTGGAACAGTGTTGTAAATACAACTTAACCACTGATTTGTAGTCGTGTCCATTTTTGGAAGGCCAAACAAAGTAGTTTCGCTTTCACAACGAAACACAGCATCACGGTTGCCTAGAGTGAGCAGAGGCTTGAGAACGGTGCGGCCGGCGGATTCGATGAAGGAGCGTCCGGAGGGCTTGCGGC